TAAAACTCACGCCGGACGCATGTGCGTGCGTGCCCAAGATCCCGAGAGGAGAATGGAGGAGAAGGGATTGCAGCGTGACCATCCCCCCGGGGGTGATTTTTCGCTTTCTATCTCTATGTCTCTGTCTGTCTGGTGAGCGCACATGCCCTATAGCGAAAACCTCTCAAAAAATTAATGATAATATTCCATTTCTAGCTTCATATATATAAATATATATAGATAGATAGATATAGATATTACACCATGTCTGACCTTCTGCCCTTTCCCACTCTCTTATTACCCTACCTTTGCTGTCTACAGTTGTCTTCAATTCCTTTTCCTTCAACATTTTGTTGATCACACAATATCATAAATAATCTAACTACTTTCAATAGCAAGTTCAGCTGGTAATTTTAAGAAAAGTACTTTTGAACTGGTAAGGCTATTTCCTTGAAACTTAAAGCCTAGAAACAGGTTAGTATTCTGTTCAAATAGTAGGTACATGAACCTATTGACAGGTCAAGACAGGAGAAAAGTCCTTAAAACTGGACAACAAAGCTTAGAGGAAAAGCAGCAATATTTTAGTCAAGTCACAGAATGCAATCTCTTAGTAATAAAAAGAAATATACAAGCTATAACATAGATGAACCTCATGCTAAGACCAAGAATCTTGTGTGAAGACCAAGAATCAATGTACAAATGACTTTGTGTACTTTATAACACTATTTTTATGAAATATCCAGATTGGGCAAGTATATAGATGATATAGATAGATATAGATATAGATATAAATATAGATATAGATTAGATATAGATATATCCTGGATGTGATTGTGGAAATAAAGATCAAATGAGCATGAGGATTCAGTTATAAGTGACAAAAATGTTTTAAAATTGAGTCATTGTGGTGGTTGCCCAGCACTCTGAATTTACAAAAAAATTATTAAATTGTATTTATAAACTATAAATTTATAAATTATTCTTCAGGAAAGTTGTAAAAGAAAAATAGCAACCCCTAGTAAATGTAGTATCCTTACAGGCTAGAGAATTAAATTTTTCCAAAAGAAATTTGCAGCCAACAGTATCAGATATTATGGGTCCAAAAATGGTGATGTTGACTTCGGCAAAATAAGGTTTGTTAATAACTGTGACAAGAATAATTAAAGGATAACTTTCTTTTAGCAAAATTATCACTGTTTCCTCACAATTCTTATAATTTGAGTCCTGTATTGGTACTCATATAAGAGTAGGATATATCAACCTTGAACTTTCTTCATGAAATTATATAAATAATAGAATATGGAATATCGAAAAGCCCCCCCCCCCCCCATGAGTGATGGCAATGCTGCAATCCAATCTTCTCTAAGGATTTTGGACACACACACATACACCAAATGCATGTTCTTTTTGTTTTGTGTTTTTCTGTTTTTGTTTTTTAGGTTTTTACCATAGGACATGTGCACTTGTTGGGGAGACACAAAGAGAGATAGAGAGAAAGAACGCGAAACTTCACTCCCCAGGAGGGATGGCCACACTGCTAGCCCTTCTCCATTCTCCTCCTGGGATTCTGGGCACATATACACATGTGACCAGTGTGATATTCAAGTCACTGGGTCCAATACTCAAACCACAGTTGGCCATCTGAGAGTCCAGTGACTTAACCACCATGTCACCTGCTGCCTCCCCCACCACCAGCCTGTTTTTTTTTTTTTAGAGATTTTTGCTAAAGGACAAATGCACTCTCCAGAAAGACAGAGAGAGACAGAAAGAGAGAGAAATCACCCTCATCACCCTCCCAGGGGGGATGGCCACACGGCAATATCTTCTCCTCCATTCTCCTCTTGGGATCTTGGGCACGCACGCACACACGCCTGGTGTGAGTTTAAGCCGCAGGGTCTGGGATTCGAAACATGGTCAACTACATGGGAATCCAGCAACATAGCCATTATGCTATCTGCTGGTCCCTCCACCAGCCTGTTTTTTAAGCTACTGGTTCTAGGACTCAAACTGTGCAGTCAGCCATTTGGGATCCAGTCACCTTAACCACCACACTACTGGCTGGTCCTAGAATATAATTTTTATTGTCTTGAGTTCCTAGATTAATTTGGAAAAATATTACATGTTTAAAAAATTTATTCTTCCCACAAAGCAACATGCAAAAAGGCAGCCACCAGCCACAAGAAGAACTTTCTGACTTCTGAACCTTAGTTACAGCACACCTAGATTCTATCTAGTTAAAAACCAACAATGAATTCTGAAGAAAATTTGACTGAGCCTCGAAATAGTGACATGAAGAAAGAAAATAATGTCACCACTTTAAACTCTGAAAAGAAGTTTGACGCTACAACCTATACAAATGAATTCACTCAAAACATAGAAAAAACAAATTCTTTGGAAAATTTTCAAGAATCTGCTGGACCCTCAAGAAATAATATTCGTCATACCATGCCATCAGCCATCACTCAATTCTTTCATGTACTTCTGGAGGAAGAAAAGTATATGAATCAGTTTGGTGAAGGAAGGCAAGAAAAATTCTATCTAGACATCATGCAAACAACTGGTGTCAAACTACAATCAACTTTTGTGAAAAAGCAAGGGCTGTACATTACTATTTCTGGTAATGCAGAAAATATCACAACAGCCCAAAAGAAAATTTTTCAATGGTTTCAGAAACAAGGTTTAACTATAGTTTCCATTCATAAAGACCATCACGGTTTTGTTATAGGTAATACTGGAGGAAAACTACAAGACTTGGAACAAAATGATGCTATTAATTGCCAGATCTCTTGCCCAGGTAACAACAGCAATCATACCAATACTATTGATGCAAAAAAGGCCAGGAAAAAAGCGCCACAGAAAGCCTTACATATATCTGCTGAACAGAACAAGTGTGTTGTGGAGAGATTACACGTGGAAAATATATTTCAACCCTTCACAGGTAGGCCATACAATAAAGTTATTGACAATGTCACACCAAAAACAAAGACACATGTCCATATTCCACTACCTAGTGACAATCAGACAAAAGTAGCTTTCCCTGAAGGAAATAAACAACCAGAACAGACTGAGGCTTGTGTAAAGAACATTTTTGAGAAAACTGAAAGGGAAACTATGACCACAGATAAGCCAATGAAATCAGAGCATCAGTCCACTATAGATTCCAAGAACAATTTCGTGCAGGAGTCCCCAGAAAGAAGTGGTGAAGTCTCAAGAGAGATCTCACCCTTAGAGGGTCCATCAGATTCTGTGACACATCCAAGTGAGCCTGAAAGTTTAGAGGAGGCATTTACTGAAGTCCACCGGAAGGCCAAAGGTAACGCTATTTCTTTCATTTCCGCACCATCCTGGCTTCACAGGTTTATTATTGGTAAAAAAGGTCAGAATATATCCAAAATAACTCATAACAGGCCAAAAGTTCGTATAGAGTTCACTGGAGAAGATAAAATTACCCTGAAAGGACCAACCGAAGATGTAAATTATGCTCGAGAACAAATCGAGATCATAATAGAAGATTTAGTGAATAAAATGGATTATGCGGAGATTAGTATTGACTACAAATTTCACAGATACTTGATAGGTAAAGATGGTACTATTATAAACAGAATTAAAGAGAAGAATAAAGTTTCTATCCACATATTACCTGAAAATGAAAAGAATAACTTGATCAGAATTGAGGGAGAATCTTCAGGTGTCCAAGAGGCCAAGAGAGAACTTCTGGAACTTGCTGCCAATTTAGGAAATGAGCACACCAAAGACTTAATCATAGAGCAAAGATTTCACCGTGCAATTATTGGACGGAAAGGTGAACGAATACATGACATTCGTAAGAAATTTCCAGATGTTATGATTAATTTTCCGGACCCAGCACAGAAAAGTGACATTGTTCAACTTAGAGGACCGAAGCATGAATTAGAAAAATGCACTGAGTATTTGGAGAATGTGGTGGCAGATGTTGTACAAAATAGCTATTCTGTAACTATCCCGGTCTTCAAAAAACTTCACAAAAATATCATTGGAAAAGGAGGTGCAAACATCAAAACTATCTGCTCAGCAAGCAACACAAAGATAAATCTTCCATCAGCCAGTAGCAATTCAGAGAATATTGTAATCAGTGGAAAACCAGAAAACTGTGAATTAGCATGTAAATGGATATTCTCAATTCAGAAAAATATAGCCAATATTTCAGAAGTAGAAATTTCTATTCCTTCTGATCTACATAAATCCCTTACTGATCCCAAGGACTGTTTGATTAGTTCACTCATGAAAGAATGTGGAAATATCCACATTCATTTTCCAAAAACCAGTTCAGACCTTCCAAGGGTCATTATTAGGGGCCCTGCACAGAGTGTGGAAATGGCCAGGAAAAAGCTGCTCAAACTAGCGGAAGAAAGTCAAGCTAAGAGTTATGCTGTGACACTCCATGTTAAACCACAGTATCACCAGTTCCTCATGAGTAAAAATGGTGGCAATGTTCCAAAAATTTGTGATAAGACTGGAGTGCATGTCATTTTCCCTAACACTAAAGAGAGAGATCAAGAATTGTTAACTATAACAGGGGCAAAAGAGTCTGTGGAAGTTGCACAAAAAGAACTAGAGGCTTTAATTAAAAACCTAGATAATGAAGTAGAGGAGAACATGCTAGTAAATAGCAGATATCACCATTACTTTACCATGCGAAGGGGCCAAGTTTTACAGGAGATGACTAAGGAGTATGGTGGTGTGATTATTAACTTCTCATGTTCAGGAAAACCAAGCAACAAAGTTACAATCAAAGGAGCAAAGCCTTGTGTAGATGCTACTAAGAAACGTATTCAGGAAATTATCAAGGACTTAGACACTCAAATCACAACGGAATGTGTTATTCCCCAGAAATTTCATCGTTTTGTCATGGGACCAATGTGTACCCGAATCCAACAAATTGCTAGAGATTATAATGTTCAAATAAAGTTCCCAGACAGAGAAGAGAACCGTACTACTAATATAAAGCCTACTGTTTGGGAAAATAGGAAAGAAATTGGAGAAAAGAGCACTAAAGAGCCTGCTTCTATTTCTCCCCCAAAATGTGATATTGTATCTATCTCGGGAAGAAAGGAAAAGTGTGAAGCAGCCATGGAAGCTCTTAAAGCTTTAATTCCTATCACTGCTGAAGTAGTCGTACCTTTTGGCCTTCATCGATATATCATTGGTCAGAAAGGAAGTGAAATACGGAAGATAATAGAGGAATTTGATGTAAATATACAGGTATCAGTACCTGGTTTAGAGTCCGACATTATTGCCATCACTGGTACTGCTCCAAATGTGGAGAAAGCGAAAACTAGATTACAGGAACGAGTCAAGGCTTTACAAACTGAAATACAAGACCGGGCATTAAGAAATTTTAAACTAAAGTTCACTGTAGATCCCAAATATCACCCCAAGATCATTGGTCGAAGGGGCTTAATAATTTCTCAGATTTGCTTAGAGCATGATGTTATTATTCACTTCCCAAGTAAAAACAACAATGAAATACAAGACCAGATCACTATCACTGGATATGAAGATAACACCTTACGTGCCCGGGATGCAATAATGAAAATGGTGCATCAGTTTGAAAAAACAGTTACAAGACAAATTTCACTAAACCATTGTGTTCATAGCCATATTATTGGATTCCATGGAAAAAACATTCACAAAATCATGAATCAATTCCAAGAGAATATCTGTTTCCCTCCGAAAGGATCCTCCAATCAAAATGCTGTCACAGTGTCGGGACTCCCTGATAAAGTGAAAAGAGCAGTTGATCATATACACAATCTTGAAGAGCATTATCTATCTGTTGTAACAAAGTATGAATCTGAAGAGAAAGCAGAAAGTGACCCTGTGGGCAATGTATCTAGTGATCCATCAAATAGTTTTGCAGATAATGATATTCCCTGTACTACAAACACTTTTCAGAAGGCTGAAGATGTATCTAACTCTAAAGATTTCTCAAGTTCGGAGAATCCAGAATCTTCTAAAACTCACCTTATGGAACACAAGCAACAGTGATGAAAACAAAATAAAGCAAATACAAAACCAGAAAAAAAAAAAAAAAGCAAAAACTTGAAAATACCATAAAAAATTCTATTTAAACTGATGCAGCTACTGGATGTCATGCACATTTCGTACATCTTTTTCTCCAACACATTCTTCCTTAGATCCTTGAAAACATGTTATAGGAAAAGTGAATTGCTCAATCCTGTGTGCATGTAGCAATTACTAATTTAGCTCAAAATTCACTGTGGGCCTGTTCACATTCTTATTGGACAGTCTTCCCATTGTTTTAAGTGAACTTCATTAAAATATTAAATACCATGCACTTACTAAATTTTATGGTCTGTTCAGCATGTCATTTTTCGCCCAACTTCCATTATAAGAACTAAATGTGGCAGGAGACTTTATCAGTGTCCTCATCTCAAGGCATAAACCTTGAATTCACAAAACTTAAAACTGATTGTGCTCTTTTTATATTTTTCTTCATGTCTTATTTGCATTATTTCTGATTCTCTTATAAGAGCACAACCAGCTTTTTTGCCAACCTATCATGACTTATACAATATGGAGGGAAACAAATTTTGGACACTGATTAGGTGATGGGTGTGGGGTTGGACTACTTGCATATCAAAAATGGCATAGCAATCATGTTAGAGAAAACACAAAGGAATGTTAAAAATTATCAGATCACTTAGAATGTATTTGGTCCTGCAGTTTGGGGGCTTGAGAATTCTATGATTTTTTTATTCCCCAGACAATCCCTTTAGAAGGCTTCCTTCAGGAAAGCTGTCAAGTCCAAGAAGAGACTGTGTTTTTTTTTTTTTTTTTATTCTTTCCAGTGATTTCCTTCATCAGGTAAAGCTTTAAGTAATGATGCCAAATGTCATTTCAGTACAAGTTATTTTAGTGAACACTTTGATCACTAATCAGACCTGCTCACTGGCTACACTAAAGAATTCATTAACCAATGTTCTACTGTTAAAAGCAGCTGATGTCTACCATTTACATCCACCCACCCCAATACTTTCCTCATCACCAATGAACATGTTTCCTTCCAATGGATAGCCTTAATCCACTGACTGGTCAATGTGGGGTCATAAATACTGAACTTCCCTTTCCCTTTCTGCATGCCATCCCAAATCCAGAGCTCACCATGAGC